CCTTTTCCCATCATTTTCTATTGAAATTAAGCAAGTCACATTGCAATGACGGTGTTAATAGTAAGAATTCATATCGTTTAAATATGAAAAACAATAATTAACGTATAAGAATTTGTGTTACTCTTCTTCGCAAGTTTACAATTTAAAATAAACGGTAATTAGCACATAATGTCCCCAACTTTCATGGTTATTGTGGAAAACGTTCATGCCTTTCATTTTTATTTTTATTTTGGCATTTTCACCCTTATTTTCACCTTTCATTGTGCAAAATGTCATTTTCACTTATTTTCTCAATTAAAAATTATGAAATAATGACTATACCCCCCTCTTTAAATAAAACAAAAAGAAAAAGAAAAAAACTAATTGCAACCACAGTCCTAAATATTTTTTTATTTAAATAGGAGGGTATATTCATTATTTCACAATTCTTTATTGAAAAATTGGATGAAAATTGATAAAAATGATGGTTTGCACAATCAAATATGTAATTAAGGGCGAAAATGCCAAAAAATTAAAGGTAGTGACATTTTTCGCAATAACGGTGAAAGATAGGGACATTATGTACTAATTACACTTTTAATAATTTATTTGTGATTCATTAGCTTTTCTTAAAAAAAAAAAAAAATGGGGACTATGATTGCAATTAAATTTTTTCTTTTTGTTTTATTTAAAGAGGGGTATATTTGTCATTTCATAATTTGTAATTGAGAAAATATGTGAAAATGACATTTTGTGCAATGAAATGTGGAAATGAGGGTGAAAATGCTAAAAAATTAAATGTAACAACATTTTCCACAATAACAATGAAAGGTGGGGATATTATGTGCTAATTACTCTAAAATAAAATCTCAAGATTCTTATTCATCTCTGTTAAATTTGTATTCATATATTTAGTACGTTGATTTAGAATGTGTATTAGATAAACTTCTCACACTTGTCTTTTTCATACGTATCTAGTCATATTTAGCCCCCGTTTGGTGCACATTTTGAAGGTAAGAATGCATTTTTACTGTTGATGTGATGGGAAATATGTGATTGAAAAAGAAGGAAAAGTTATTGATGTGATGAAAAATATTATTTTATTGAAAAATATGTGATTAAAAATGAGTAGAATAATGAAAATGAAAAAAATAATATGGACCAAACAAGGCTTTAGTCCAATTATTGTTACCTGCGTCTATCGTCAATATTCATGGTATAGGGATTTTTTTTCATTGAAAATGGTTAAGTTAAAATGGGCAAGTCAAAGGGTNAATATTTTTTTTCATTGAAAATGGTTAAGTTAAAATGGGATTTAGTCCAATTATTGTTACCTGCGTCTATCGTCAATATTCATGGTATAGGGATTTTTTTTCATTGAAAATGGTTAAGTTAAAATGGGCAAGTCAAAGGGTAAATTACATCTACTTATTGAAAAAATAATAATGACAAACAAAATGTTCTAAAACTTTGCCTTACGGGCCCTAATGAAGTACGACTCTTTTTTCCTGGATGCCTAAAATTGATGATGTTTTCATTTCCATTAATATTAATTCTTGGGTTAATCATTAATTAATCATTTTCATTAAAGATAATCTTTAACTGCTCCCTTGGAAAATCATGAACAAGACAAGATTTTTTAAAAGATTAACCTTGTTTATTTACCATAAAATGCGGATTAAACACGTCACATCATACATAATTACAAATTTTTTTTTACAGATTTCAAATTCTCGAGATTTTCAAGAAAAATACAGACAAAAATATTATTTTATTTTAGGGTCCGTTTGATTGTAAAAGTGGAATTTGGGTGGAAATAAAATGAATTCCAATGAATTGAATTGCCTAAAATTGTTTTCCTGAGAATTGTCGATTAATTGTGTTTGATTAGTATAATTTTTCACGTGGAAAATATTGAAATTTTGAATCTTTTGGTGTTCGTTTGGCTTTGTTTTATATGAAAATTGTTCATTAAGGGGATAGAATTTGTTTCCATTGCCAAAAAAAAAGTAACCGGTTGGTGGGAATTGATTTTCTTCAAAAAAACCAACAAAAATGACCAAAAAAGGGGTTGGGGAGGAAAACCATTTGTCAAGAAAATTTTGTCAATCAAACAAGCAAAAATATAGAAAATGGAAAATCAACTCCTAGTTCCATGGAAAAGAAATACTATCGAAATGGGGCTTTATTGTCCCTATTACTTCATAAATTTCTTCTTTTACTTTAATTCCAACATTCCTCTAAAGGGTTTCTCTAGAATCAGAATTTATAAGCATTTGAAATTATCTAATAGCTCTAGGAGTTGACATGAAATTATGTCCATATCAGGTAGGTTTGCATGGATTTGGCTATGGATTTTTAGCATAAAATAATAATTATTGAATTAATTACGGATGCAACTTAAACACGATTAATATGTTGAAAAATAAGTTTTTAAATAAATAATTTTTATTAGTGAAATGAGAAATAAGCAAATTTTAAGTTATGGAATGGTCTCTTTCCAGTGAAAGATATCAGCTTCACAGCGTCCATACACTTCATCAAAACTCAGATTTTGCACTTCCTCATTTGCCTCAACATTCTCAAATATCTTCGTTCTTCCCATAACAATTTTCTTCATTTCTTGCATCAATGGTAAACCCTAAGCCTTTAGAAAAACCCTTAATTCTCTTGGAACACATTACCGCAACGAAGCGAAAGACGAGGCCAGAAAAACCAGGCTAAACACGGGGGTTTCTTGGCGTAAGACAACGGCCATGGGGTCGATATGCAGCCGAAATAAGAAACCCTACAACCAAGGAAAGACATTGGCTGGGAACCTTTGATACTGCTCAAGAAGCTGCACTTCAGTATGATAGGGCTGCCCTTTCCATGAAGGGCGCTCGAGCAAGAACTAATTTTATATACTCTGATCGGACAACAACTTTTCATTATTTTTTAAACCCTAATTATGATATTCAAACTCAAGCCTTTTTGCAGCCACCATCACAGACAGTTTTCTACTGCCACAGAAACTAAACAGTCCAGTTCTTGTAGTCTGCAGCCTGACACTGTGCCAAGAAAACATCAGAAATCATCTGTCCAATCGACGTGTTTTCTTGATCAATCTTCTTATGTTTCATTACCTAATGATGATCGTAATTTGTTTCTTTCTACTACTGACTAAAATTCTGGCTACTTGGATTGCATTGTTCCAAACAACTGCCTGACGCCATATTCTGCAACTGATAAAATCAATGGGGACACTTCAACTGATCAGAAATTCTGCTCAAATTTAAGTTTTTCAGAAAATCATGGGACATTTTATGAAAATAATCCGCTTTTTCCAGATTTTTACCAGTGTTGCAACTGTCGGATGGAATCCCGAAAACCCTGGAAAGCTTTCTAGCTACGACGACTTTGTGGACGGGTTCTGGTCAGATGGTGATCGACAGTCGATGAGAGTTAAGTTCTTGTGAACTCTCCCGCGTGATGAACAACCCTTTAGTGGTGGAAAATGGATGCATGGGACATTTCAGGTTATAGCCATTTCTAATACTTGTATGCATCAAAAACCCCAAGTTCAGCAGGGTGAATGTATTAAAAAGGGACATTTTATCAGATGCTGCTGCTATGAAATCGACGCATATGCATGCCGCATATGCATCCATCATGCTATTTGTACAAACAGCTTAACTAAGCAAGTAACACGAGCATGTTTGAATACATTACAACGAAAAAGATTTAAACTTATTTTCTTGTTTTCAGTTTAACGTACTCCATTCAAGTATCTGTATCTCATTGATTATATAATTTGCAGAACCTCCCTCGTTCTCTCTCTATCTCCAGTATTTAACTTTTTGTTTTATGGAAATTGTAACTAGACTAGAGCTTCAAAAGATAATGAGAGAGGAGGTTGTATTTTGCTTCTCCAAAAGTGAGTGTAGATCAAGTTTCATGAGTTAAAACAGCTTATATTTAGACTTGCTGAATCCCGATGCGCCCTGCCCTATAGGGCTCAGCTTTTCTTGACGCTTCGATCAAGTGAGAGCTCGATGAGCGACCAAGTTTCCATCAAGTGAAGCACCGAGCTTACGCTTCTCCTAAGAGTGATGCAACTTCCACGCATAGATATCAGATGCATGCTATTACTTATCATGTTATTCATAAATTGATCTAGAGCTTTGACGTGTAATATGCTAAGATATGGTGGCAAACTTGTATTTCGTATAGCGCAACAGAAAGAATGGCAAGGCCAGAGAGCTCATGCGTAAGTTTATCAACCCGACTCGTTGGGATGTCCCTTCTTGCCTTAACTCATTTTCCACGATCAACTTTGAGAGAATGAAGCCAATTACGATAATAAACAAGTTATCAAACTTTTCTCGTGACCTGTCCATCATTTCAGCAGTATAGCTGAAAGCTCAACTTGAATCGACTTAATTTTGGCTATGTCAAAGTTTTAAGTACTTATTTCTCATGCTCCTGCTAGAGTAAAACACAACAATGGCTTTGCGATGAGATTGTCTTATCGTACTTGCAATCAAGAAAGGGTATCTTCAACTAGCCAAAATTGGTAAAACTAACAATTATTTGCCTAATATTGAAGCATGCTTCGACTCATCTTTTAACAGCCATAAGAAAGATAAGAATCCAGTAAACGAACTGTTCTAACCTAGCGTGTTGACTAACATAAGAAAGGAGAAGGAAAACCATCCTACATCTAGCCAGCCATACACCATTTTTCTACTTCAAGCCTAAAGAATACAGTGCAAAAAATAAATTCAAGAAATTCTCATCATAAAGAAGGCATTCAAGCATCCTTTAGATGACAACCAACATATCTTTAACAAAAACAAACACAACAAAGAGCAATAGTTACCAAATTCAAGATTTTCTCGTCTGTATCGGTTGATAAAATGTAGAGGAGCATTCACGCAAATCATTTGACTGGATAACTACATATATCTTACACATGAGCTTCCGCAACAAAGGACCAGACAAAATAAGGGATCAAGAAATAAGACCTCGAAATTCATTCCCTAGACAATATGGAAGCTTGTTCCAAAAGAGGGAACGAGAATAGAGGTAATCGAGAAATCCAGTGGCAGAGAACAGTGAGGCTTATATCTTTTTCGTTCTGAAAAAAGACATTAAATAGACATGACAAGCTCCAAAATTTTGGGCAATGATGAAAATTATCTGAATGGGAAGTTGGTTTTGTTTCATGTTATTCAAAGACTAGCTGAAAAAGCTAATGAGCTGTTGCCAGATTTTGAGGGGTATCTGTGGCTTATTCAATGGACACAGCTAAATATGCTACATTGAACTAAGACCGAGCATCCTATAGAGAATTTGAACCAAAAATATAATGTCGAGTTCATGAAAGTTGATTAACAGAGAGAATGAAATGGCTGAACCCTTTTATTCAGCTTGATGTGTGAATCTCACCTCCTTGGCCTATGCTGCTGCTGGCGCTTGAAAAGGTAGAACCCTGTCCTGACTGTTGACCACTGGATAGAGGAATGTGCCCGCTTGGTGAAAATATTGAACCAACTGAAGCACTTGAACTGTTCATAGAAGACATTTGGGTTGAAAAGGTGTCTCTGCCAAATCCAGAAATAAGATCGGGCCTCAAGTCTGATGACGAGGACGATGGAGCCAAAGTTGCATGTGTGGATCCCACAGGATAAGGAGCGACAGGCATATCAGTAAGAGAGGACGCAGATGGACTGTAACTCAATGTTCTCATTGGGTGATCAAATTTGCATGATGGCCCGAATTTGCATTCTCCAGTTTGTGCATAATGAGAGCAAAGTGGTGCACCCTGAAAATAATTGAAGAGACTTTGGAAAAGATATAGCATAGTTCTCAAATATATGCAAACATCCTAGAACGCAGCAAAATGAAATGAGACACAATAGAAAATTAAGTGCAAAGAAGGATAACAAGGGAGAGTGATGAGATATTTTTAAGGTTTCTAAGTCCAAAGTGAGGCACGTGTAGTGAGCAAATAGGTATAGCTCCAAGGAAATTGTATTTTGAAAACCAGGAAACTTTCAATACATGCATCAACAATACGGGGAGAAAGTTAGTCATTGAGAAATTTTTTATATATATGCCCTATTTGAGCCACATTGTTTTTTTCATTTTCATTCTTCTACTCATTTTTAACCACACATTTTTCAATAAAATAATATTTTTCATCACATCAATAACTTTTCCTTCTTTTTCAATCATATATTTCCCATCACATCAACAGTAAATATGCATTCTTCTTCCAAAAATATGCACCAAATGGGGGCATAATATAAAAATCAGAAAGTTGCAATCCACTTGTGCAGATCACATCTACTAAAATAAAGAAAAATAACCAGGGTAAAAGAAAATGGCCCAACTTAATGACAGCCATTTGTTCACCTGTACATTTTAAATATAGAAGTTCCAATATTTGTTGGCCTGAAAAAACAGAATGAATGAGATACAGCTCCAGGAAAATGTTCACTTATCAAAAATAAAGGAACAGTTACACAAAAATGATAATTTGAAACACACTATACAGCATTGGACCACTCTATATCCCAGTGGAAAATACGCACTTATTTTAGCCAACTCGACAAAATCTTTCCTTACACTCGGAAGATACTCTTACACTGACTTGGTGAAACCAACCTTCCCAAGAAAGATCAGCTTTTCTTCTTACATAATTCAAGGCAATCTAGAAACAGCATGTTTAAAACTAATTGACTTTTCGTAGAACTGGGGAGAAGTTATTCGTTTCATAAGGACCAAGATATTTCTATTTTTTGCTTCATCTGGGCAAAACTCAATACTTAAAAAATTAGGCAATTAATCATTCACACTCAAGTGTTATTAAGGTGGGATCAGATCATCATTGCACATAATCAATCTTGAATCTTTAAAGCATTTGCTATTCATCACATCTTGCATCTTCCTAAAAATTTCATCAGATGATGAAATTGGCCCCCCATGAATTCATTCATTTGCTCCTATCAGCTTTATATATTACTCAATATTAGGATTGAAATCGCTTCGATTGGTATTATGAAAATCAGGTATGATTATTTTAACTCTAACCATATGCTAGTGGAACTTTCAAATTACCTTCTCTTTTTCTGATACGTAGAACTTAAAGGTTGTTAACCCCACGATCTCCAATTAAAACCAATGATTCTACAACTCAAGTCCCGAAGTTGATTGTTGCCACTAAGGGTTTGATATCAAGTATCCTGCAATCTATGCAGACTTAAGTCTACCGGCTACTGTAGTATCTGGCATGAAATCGGTTGAGTACTTTGAGTTTAAAAACAGTGTATCCTACAAATCATAAATCCCAAATGGCCAAGGACTTGGGTGTTTCATTTTTAAAGGGACAAACAGATGTGATACCCCACTTTTGATGCAACCAGACACGTCAAGGGAAATCAAGATATAAGAAAATGCACCCAGTCATAATATTTTTTAAAATTTAGTTGAAAAAAAAACTGGAATAGAACAGAAATTGGCAATGCAGCTAAACGTTCAATATCATTCCATCTGGAAAAATTATATTATGCATTCAAATTTCTCTAGTTATCCTTTTCCAGGAGCAGAAATTACAACTAGATCAACAATTCAACCAGAAAGATGCACATATATGGCAAAATCTTTAATAGTGAACATAAATAATATTCAATAGAAAACATGAAGATTTAAAACAATAAAATAAAAATAATAATGACTCCTTGTGAACATAAAAAATAAATAAAATAAAATAAAAATCATTCTAAACAGTATATGATATATAATCCAAAAAAACAGAAAACCGCAAGCTTACCGGGCGCAAGGGCAGACCCATTGGACTAAGCCCAAAATTTGTCTTTAGTGCACTCCCCTCTGGTGGATGATGATACTTACATGTAGAACCATATTTACAATTCCCCGTCTTCAAATAATATTGGCATTCTGGTTGGCCAGGTCTTTCTGGAAATGCTTGCTCCTTCTGACTGCTGCCTGAAGGACCAGCAGAAGAGGTTATGGATAGATATGGTCCTGTGTATGCAGCTGCTGAAGGAGATAACTGTGTTATCCCATATACCGGGCCTGCTCCAGCAGTAGGTTGAGTACTTGGGGAAGCTGCAGAACTAGCGGGTGCCTACACCATGTAATTTTATAACTCAGCACAAAATACGGCATGCAAAGTATGTTTCGCATGCAGTACTACACTGGACAGTTGACAAGATTTTACCTTCCTTTTTCTATTTAATACTATCCAACACTGCCTAGTCCAACCTACCAAACATTTCATAAAAGATTACGAGATCAAACAAATAGACCAAGCAACACGCACCTGATACGGAGTCCAACCAGGAACAGGAATGACCCCTGGAGGAAGTAGAATGGGACTATAAGTTCCCTGGACATATGAACCTGGAAGCATAGCTGGCCTGGCAACTGGCCAGTTGCCAGAAAATACTCCATATTGCTGGGGAGTTTGTATGGATAATGATTGCATTGCTGGATACATTGCGGGTGCAGGTGCAGGCAAAGGTCCCGGACCAGGTACTGGTGCAGGCACTTGCATTACAGGTGGCAGAGGATGATGATATTTACAGGTTGCCCCAAACTTGCATTGTCCTGTTTTAACATAATATGAACATTCTTTTTCACCCTGCAACAAGTACTCTATAAGACAACTACATATTTCAAATCTAATTGAAAGTGTAATGATGGAAAAGAGAAGAACAGAAAACAGAATGTTTCAAGCGGCAGACCGGTCGCAACGGATATCCATAATAATTCAAGGTCACTGAGTCTGAAAATCCAATTCCCTGTTTTGGATGGTGATACTTGCAGGAAGCACCAAATTTACACATTCCCGTTCTCATATAGTACTACAAATACAGTGAAAAAACACAATTAGTACGAACAGGCATAACTTATATAAATAAGATACTGAATTCTAACCAAGACAAATTCACACTCAACAAATTGGAGAGAGAGCTTATTTTATGATAGAGATGATGGATAAATGCAATAACAGTGTTTCGAGATAGGCAGATATAATTGCTTAATATCATTTGACAAACATTCATAGTCAAAGAAGACTGATTATCGTGGTATTATGGTCAAGATGAATAGCATTACCAATGTTTCTTACATTGTTGAGGTAATGGTGAGCTCTACTTTTTTCTGTTTATACTTTATAGACAAAAATGATTTGAACTTCCATGGTTTATCTGATAAAGCAGGTTGGAAGAATTATATCCATGTAGCCATGTAGGCTCCCAACCAAGTCAGGCTTCTAAAATTAACATAAAATACCAGATTACAACCTTTTCGTGTTTATCACAAGAGAAACATAGTCATATGAAAATGAATGATGTAATCAAAAGATTGTGAACATTTTTTTATTGTAGTATAGATCCAAAATTACAATAACAATTTGAATTTATAATCCACATTAGAAAAAAAAAGTGACTCATCCTACATAAACAACGTAACAAAATTTCTGTTCTCTGAGATTAAACCAAGGAATTGAAACCAAAAATGGGGAAGAAAAAGAAAACAGAATACCAATCAAAATGTCATGATAATATGAATTCAAGAAAATGGATCGTAAAATTTTATAAGTGCAGGCACATGCAGAACAGCACAATCGTATGGTGATCCAATATGTTGACTCCAAGAAGGATAAAGACGAAGATAATCAACTAGTTGTGTCTTTCATCTGGGATGGCCACATACAGACGAATTATGACACAGAAAAAAAGCAACTTAACATTTTAAGATCCAGGAGTTGTCAAATACTTCAAAATTGAAAACTGACTGAAGGTACTAAACAGAGTAGCACAATATCCATGACAAAGAATGATCTCTTAAATATAGCATGATAAATCTAGCAATATACATTGATTACGAAAAATGCTGCATTAAGGATAAAAATAGCATTAGATATCTCATGTTCCAAACAGGAGATAATTCTCTAAAAGGGATATCTAGCACTCAAAATGGCATAATTAAGATAAGAAAGCTCAATCTTTCTAAACAAAATCCAGAAGCAGCAAAAGGACGATATAAACAATAAGCAGACGAAGTGTTTGATTCAAAGATCAAAAAGAGAAGCTCAATATGTTAATTAATACACAGTAATCAGACGAAACACTTGAGCAACATAATCTAGCAAAATGCATTTTCCCAGATCAACATTTTGACTAACATTAATTCAAATTTTAGCATATTTAACAACACATAAACACAGTGAATAAAAACAGTAAAGTCACCAATTTTACCTATCACAGACCCCAAAGGAGGAAAAGACGAATAGATAATCAAGTAACAGAAAATTACCCTTCTAGAACCAACAATAAAAAGACGAAATAACTTACCTATCACAGATCCAAGGGCGGGGGGGAATGAATGCAATCAACCAACAAAAATTTACACTTCCAGAACCAAAAAAGAACCAACAAAATCATGGAAATGCATTTTCCATAACATCAACTATCATTAGCTTCAGAAAGTAAAATGGTTCATTAATAATTATATATACTTTATTTATTTAATGTGTATATATTCATATCTATGTGAGCATTTATTTTTATCTATATACGTCTAAGACAAATATATACATATATTTCAGAGCATAAAAATGAAAAACTTGCTTGCAAACGCATACCCTGCAGATTGGTTGTCCAACGCGTTCTGGGTACTCGCCGCCGGTGGCTCTCAAAGTTCCCATTGCCTATAACAAGAATACCAAAATAGTGATTAGTCGTGCACATAAATACTTCTGAATATTTTTCCAATGTAAAAGCAAAACAGCGAAAATTATTTATTGCATGTCAACATTTTGAAGTATTTTACAGTAAATCAAATCGATCTTCCAAAATTTAAATGTTTTTGCTTCCTTTCTTGTGTTAATTTTAAATTCCAATAAAATTCAATTTTTCTTACTCAAATTAGAATCAAATCTAAATAAACCCTCACTTAAATTCGTAAAAAACTCATCTTTAGCCAAATTCTTTACTTTAACCGCGTGATCACACCAATCATGCAAACAAAAGTCGAAATTGAACCGGAAACAAAAATTCTAAGTGCAAAATCACGAATTCTACCGCGCTTCGGTCTCGAGGATGATTGAACCGGCAACGAGCGCCATATCCACAGAAACCAGTCCTCAAATAGTGGCTACAATCGGGCTCGTCCGGCCTCTCGGGGTACGATTCCGGCCCACCCTCTAGACCCAACTGCCACATGGGCTCTGCATTTACGAAATCAAACAACAAGTGAATCAAATTCCCTTCTGCATTACCAAAATCAAAGCTAATTGAACTGAAATTCAGGTGAAATTCAGATGAAATTCAAATGCAGAGAGAAAATATCAACCTTCGAGCCCGGTTTCGCCACCAGGAGCGGCCCATTCCGACACTGGATCCGCCGGGCCCCCCTCCATTGTCTGACTCCCACTGTACCTCTCCATTTTTTGACACCTATACACACACCTTTAGTATAATAATATATATAAATATATGAACAAAATTATATATGTATATAGGTATAGAGAGAGAGAGATAAAGAAGGAAACACAAGGAAGAGGAGTGTGTGTGATCAAGTGTGTCGGGAGAGGAAGCTGAGGAAGAATGGTGTGATCGATGGTGTTTGGTGGTTTTAGAGAGAGAGTAGAGAGTGTTTTAGAGAGAGAAAGAGAGAGGTTTATAATAGTACTTTTCCACACACGGTAATGTATATTTACACACACTGTGTGATTTTATTATTCTGTGGGGTGGCTTTTGTAACTTTTCAGTAAGTGATTTTTTTGGACGTATTTTTTTTGCCTTTTAATTAATTTTTGGGATATTTTTTGCTTTTTCTGTTTTTTAATTTGATTATTTTTGTCTGCTTGTTAGTTTATTACGCGCCATATAGGCGTGCTTAATAGACAGTTAATGGGCGGTTCGAGCATTGTTGGTGTAAAATGACAGTTTTGTCCCCCCTCCACTTTTGACATCTGCAATTAAAATATATTTTTTTGGAGAAAATTGCACTAATGGTCCCTCATGTACTGTTCAATTAGTAAATTAGTCTTCAACCTCTAAAAATTAACAAGTTGATTCTCAAATTTTTACCATTACTGCAAATTAGTCTTGTCCTGTGAACATCATAAGTTCAACTTTTGAAGTTAAATTTTGATTCTCAATTTGGATTAACGTGTGAAAAATCAAAGTGAGACATATTTTTACGAGGGACGCATGGTAATTTAATGGATATACGGGTATATCGGTGGTGATTAAAATGTTTAGTACTAATTTTCTAGTATTTAATATTACTTGAAAAAATAAAATAAAAAAAGTTATTACTAATGCGAATCATCGATACTTGCACGTTATATATGCATTCGTTTCTAGATGTCCGACATATTTTTTCCATTCTTTTCTCTAACCCAATTATTTTTAGGGTAATCTAAATAAACCTATGCACTGTTTGGTTTGGGTCGATTTCGACTCCAACTCGAAAGCAAAATCAAATTAGTCGGTTTGGATGAATTTCAACCCACACCAACTCACTCTAACTCTTAAATCGAACCGACCCAAACCGAATTGGTTTGTTTGGTTCGGTTCGGTTAGTCGATTTGGACTTTTGGTCCAAATCGAGTTTTTTTTTTTAAAAAAAAAAAAAATTATCTAAGTTTTGGACCTACTTAGATTACAAGAACTAAAATAATTAAATAATTTTATATTACAAGAACTATTGATCAACGAATAAAATAGGTTAATAGAAACAAATCAACATAAAACTTAAGAATTTTGTTGTTTTTTATACATTTTGTAGCATGATTGTCGAGTACCGGAAAAAAGAATGAGTATAACATAAAGAGCTCGTGAAAGGAAATTCTCATGACTCACTGGAAGCATCATAGATTGGAGGGAAACGAAATATAATTATAATATTATGGTTTATCTTTCGATTTTTTGGTAAACATATAAGTGGGTTAGATATGTTCGGTTAATCAGCAGTTTGAGGCTTTAAACAATGGCTGAACCAACCCACCATTATTTTGTTTAAAAAAAAATCAAACGAAACCAATTACTTGTGTCAAACCGACTTGAATCGTCTCGAGTCAGTTCGATTTGATTGGTTTAGTCGGTTTTTCAATTTTTTTGCCCAAGCTTACCTGTAGGCCCTCGATCCAAATGGACAAAAAATTCGCTCCTCATCGTGGTGACAATCGAGTTCACGGAAAGGTATGCCTTGTTTGGGATTGGGGCGGGGATGGGTAGAGGGTGTTTTGCTCCCAGCCCACATAGTTTTATTTTTAAAACATTTAAATTTAAATTTCAAAATAAAAATCTAATTTACCCACCCTATCGTGTGTGTACATATATATGTATGTGTGTGACTCGCTCTATTCTATTGTCATCCTTCACGTTAACTAAAACCTTTTTATTATTATTATTATTATTATTTAAGAATAGCTAAGACCTACATAAAAATGTATAATATATAAATGCATCTAGACAAAAAAAAAATGTTGTACACCTAAATTATATTGATCATATGATTCGAATAAGTAACCAATTTCGTTTACCAAAATCTACTGTTGCATGTTCCATTGTGATTTCTTCGTAACCAATTTCGTTTACCAAAATCTACTGTTGCCCTGTTTGGGAGAAATTTTAATCAAGATTTTAATCAAAATTCTAGCCGTTAACTATCAAATCAGTTACCATTTTTTACTTTCCCTCTCACGAGTAAAGCCCACATGTTCACTATAACGGCTATAATTTTAATTAAAATCCCACAAAAATTGCTCCCAAACACGCTATCGTAACTACACAAATACTCTTTAAATTGTATGGTCTCGATATCATGTAAAATGTATTAAAATGCTCTGATACCATGAGTTCTACAAGGTCAACTGTTTAAAATGTAATTACAATTTTAAAAATGCTTTGAATGTTTAAGATGCTCGAATTGTATTAGAATACGAAAATTCTAGGCTTTTTCCTCATGGGTTTTTCATAGTTGCTGCGTTGGTTGCACCTATTTGGTCACTTTATTTTTAATTTTTTTGTGCCTTTGTTCAATAAAAAAATGTCAAATGTATATGTAAAAATTCAGACAGTAGTTTTTCCTGTGCGTGTAGCATGACTCATTAGAATATTGCAAGTCCAACTCGTGGTTTACTTTAAATGGTATCAGAGCATTTTTACATAGTTAAACTTTTTTAAAGTCAACAAAGTTTTACAAGGCCAACAATTTCTAAACGGTCGAACCATTTTTTATCTAAAAATTTTGAGGATCCCTAAAAACTGTCTATTTATCCACCACTCATTTATAAATTTTATATATTAAATTATTTATTAGCAGATCCCAAACAAACTTTAAGATGTTCGTGCACCTCACGTGCAATGTGTGTAATAAGATCATTAATAAATCATCAAGGTAAAATAAAGTAATTTTGTTGCCATTAAGATATATTGCATTTTAAACTAATCACCAAAACAAGTATGCATAGTATTTTTATATTTAAGTGACATGGGATTTTACCTCTAATAGTTTTTGAGGGAGTAAGTTTGTATCTTTCACTAAAACAAACATTCTAAGGAAAATTAGCCAAAACCCTACCATTAAAGATTAGTTTTCATAAATCAGGAGATTAAGTTTCAAATTCAAATTCCAGGTGATAAATAAGATTATTAATTGTAATTAATAAAAAAATTAATTAAACTTAATCTACATAATAACCCTACCAACCCCACACACACATCGATTAATTCCAACACAAACCAACCCCTCTCTCTCTCTCTCTCTCTATTGTCTACACCAACTCCGACGACATAATCAACTTCGGCCACCTCGAGGACGGTCGCACCCATCGTCGACTACAGCATCCTAAAGGAGTCCAATCTCCACCTCTGTGGTGGTGCCAAGAAGGTGAGGTAGACGAAAAATCTTCTGTCTATCCTCCTTTTCGTGAATCTGGTGGTCGGCGCAGTGACTAGCGCCGCTGTTAGAAGCAGCACCATCGCTCGATGGTGATTCTTCTTCTCCATAGTCATGTTCTCTTGCACGAATGCCGACCAGTTCGACTGAGTCGACTCAGAGAAGTCAATCCAATAGAAATTATTCACCTTAGGTAATGAAGGCTTCCTCTCAATTAATGATTTAGCCTTCAGTAATATGAGGTCTACGATTGGTGGATTAAATTGATTTTTCCCCCAAATCCATAGAGTCAGGGCATGAAAACTTGCTAATTCACCGCGGGTTTGATGTGCAAGCCGCTGGATCGTATTTTGTTCACCTATTTAGCTTGCTTTTTTGGGTTACGATGGTGGTAGGTTGTGGTGGTGGTGGTGGATTGCGGAGTGTGTGTGGCTCTGTTTGTGGTACATGTGTCCGGATATGTGTGTGATGGTATGTACGGTGTTTGTGGTGCAAGGAAGTTGCAGACGGTGGTATTGATACATCATTGTTCTGCCTTGCAACATTCCTAAATCACCAGCTAAATAACTCTCATTATTGCTAAGTTGCATTGCAACATTCTTAAGTTGCCTTCTCAGTCGTTCAATTGTGATTGATTGTGACTTGAGATTGACCTAGTCGCAAACAGTCACACTCAACACAAATTTGATCACAGTTAGTCACATTGAATACAGACTTGGTCACACTTAGTCACATACAGTTACACTGAATACAAAAAAAAGAATTCGATAATTTTTTAGGAGGTGGAAGCAAGGATGGGGTGATGGTATGGGGATTCATCGGGGGTGGGAGTGTGATTTTCAAATTTTAATTTTTTGGAAATCTTTAAGTCATCAGAGTGGTCACCAGAAAGTTGCCGGAGAGGCTTCGGAGCAGTGCAAGAGAGTCAGCCGAAGTGATCGTCAGAGATGATGGCCGTCTCAGGTGGAGGAAATGTGGTGTAGTGGGGTGATAGGATATGGTAGTTGATGTGACATAAGTAGAAATAATTAATATATATTATTGAGGTGGAGGGAATGTGGTGTAGTGGGGTGATAGGATGGGGAAGGTGAGGTGGCATTGATAGAAATAATTAATGTATATTATATTGTATTTTAATATTTAATAAATTTATTTACCACCTGATTTTTGAAATATTTTAATGAGTTCGTTATTTATGAAATATGATCTTTAAAAATATGAGTTTTGTATTGTTCCCAAAATTCTATGTGCAAAATCACAAATTCTACCGTACTTCGAGAAAGATATCTACATAAACTAATCCTCAAGTAATGAATAAAAATCAGGTTCGTCCGGTCTCTTTGTGTAAGATTCGGGCCCATCCTTTACTCTCAAATCGTGTCAACGGAAAGTTTATCGCTTTTTGTATTGATTTTTTTAAATCATGTTTATTATTAAATTTTACCTTGCAAGTATCCAATAACACACTAATTGTAAATATAACAAACGTCTTTAGATAAATAAATGTTG